ACAAGCAACACGCAGAGTCCAACACGCTCACTGCACACAAACGCAACTGCCTGCTCCCCAATCCCCCTTCGATGCACGCTCCGCGTGCACCCCACCGGACGGCACATGTCAGCCAGGGGCAACGACGCAGAGCATGTCCCAGTCTTCAAGATTTTTTTTCATTTTCCAATCGGTCGGGGGCGACATTGTCGGACCCACGCCGGGCGGCACGAGTCAGCTAAGGGCAACGACGTCTATACATCATCGTCCACGAGCCGAGGCACGACGCTTGTGGAATGTCCCGTACACAAATGCGACTCGAGTCGCGACGCCGCCGCAGCGGCGACGATCACCACGTCCTGCTCTGCCTTGGAAGCCTCGGCGAGGGACTCCCACCAGGTTTGGCATTCAGAGCCCTCGGCGAATTGAAGGCAGTTACAGCAGTCAGGGCCACAAGGACCGAAGTGGCACGCTTGCCATGAAACCCAGACGGCTCCATCGTGTGAAGGCGAGCCACCTTTCCAGATTGCTGGGCCTGCATAGCCAAAGTTCGATGACCACACGAGACAGCAAATGGCCTTGCACACGGCCTCGCAATCCACCTGAATGCGGAGGGGGGCCGAAGCAAGGGCCAACGTGACCAGCGCAAACGGGCTTCTATTGTAGAGTGGGTCGCTGCACCAGATGCCAAGGCCGGCTTTACCGCTGAGTAGGGCACCTGATACCTAAATGGGTCTGTCCTGCCTCAAATTGAGCTGAGGTGTCCAAAGGCCTGTCCGAGGCGTCAGTCTCTGCTGGCCTTGCTCCAGGTTCCGGAACCTCGGCAGAGCAAGGCTTGCGCCAGGAGGCTTTGTGGCTCCCAGCATCAAAACCCACACGAAGGGTCGCGAAAAGTGTATTCCCGACATGCGACCACGTCCGGATGTGCAAGTGCAAAATCGATGCGCCTTGTGCTAGTCGGGTTCGTGGCGATCGGGGCGCCAAAACATGTTTCGTCAGCCGAGCGAACGGCTCCGCACATCAAGGAGGTGGAGACGGTTCCTGCCATTTCCTGCCTGCTGGACACAGTTGAAATCGCCGAGCACCAGCAACAAGCCACCGTACACAGCGACTGCCTCCATCATGGAGGACTCATACGCATCAGAGGCGCGAGTCAAATCGCCAGGATACCCATAGAAGGAAATCACAAGCACATGTGCAGCGTGGCCTTGCATGGGCCATGCGACCAAGCCCGCAGCCATGCGATCGGCATAGTCCACCACTGGGACTGGCTTCATGGCGGACCCTCCTAGAAACCTCAATCTTACACAGTAGGCAGCGCCAGATGAAGTCGGAGTTCTTGCCGCGACGGGCGAGCCAATCATTTTGTGAACTTAGTCTGGGCATCAAGCCTCCACCGTCATGATGTCTCTTCAAGTGGTTGCTGCGGGCATTGCTGAAATCCTCGGGCTTTTTGTTCAGAGGGCGCCGATACGGACACAGCTCGCACTGGAAGAAAGTCCGAACTTGGCGGGCCGAGGCGCAAAGTCTTCGGGCACCTGAGGCACGTCCTCAAGGTGCAGCAACGGAGACTTTAGACCCTGCATTCGAGGCCTGAGTCCACACCGAGGCCGCAGTATCAACACTTCCCTTCTCTGCCAAATCCAAGTCCTTGCTGAAAGCTGCGACGCGATCGGCGTTTTCGTCCACCAGTGTTTCCAAGGATGGACCCAGGCCATGCCATTCTGTCAAGTACTGATCACTATGGCGCCGGATGTGTGCATTGGCTCGGGCGCGAAGGTCTCGGTGGGTTTCCTTTTTGCGTGTCAGCCAAGTGAGGCCTTCCGCGATGGCGTGGTAAAGGCAAGCACCGTCTTTCTCGACCTCTGCCAGTTTGCAGTGGTCAGGAATCTCACGTTGGGACAGGGCACGGCTTCGGGCCGGTAACACCTGTTTCCCCGAGGCATCTGTCTCGGCTGATCCAAAGATGAGGCCTTGGGCTCGATGAGCGGCACCGGTTCAGAACGCAAAGGCTGCTGGGCGCGGACAGGGGCCACCGAGTCACACATAGTCACCTCTCCAACGGATCCATGGCCGTTGTCCACCTCCCCTTGCAGTGGGACGATGTCTTTGTCCCCAAATTTGTGTGTCCCACGGAACCTGTAGAGAAACTCCTTGCCTTTGCGGTGGTGGTAGATCAAAGTGACCTCATCGAAAGCCTGGGCCATGAGCACGTTCACATCCGAGCCCCAGTGCCCCGAAACGTCAGGGCAACGCCCGATCCAGGCAACAGCAGTGTTAGGGTCTCTGGTGGTGCAGGCGCCAATTCGCCATCCTTGCACAACCAAGCCCAATTGAGCAGACATTCGGAAGGTATGCACTTGTCGGCTCCTCTGTCCCACGTGCCAACCACTGTACCTGGGCTGGCAGCATGTCACGTGGATTGTCAAGGAAGACAACCCCGAGAAGGCTCGTGAGCTCCTTCTTGGCTTTCCCGAAAAGCTGGCGCCCTTGCTTTTGCAAGGATTCTTCAAGCCAGCCCCAACTGTCAATCAAGACAACCTTTTGCTCGGCGGCCCAGGGCCGTGGCTCGAGTAGGGTTTGCCCGAAAGCTCTTCCATTTCTCGGCCGTGCCATAAGCATCAAGAACCCGAATGGAAATCACAACGGTGTCAAGCGGTGCCACCTGGACTGCGGCTGCTTTCTGCCCGGCGTAATGCGGGGCGTCTTTGCCGGATGAGTACAGAGTTTGCACGTGCATTTGTCGGAAGCGCAGCAAATTGCCAACCCGTCCAGGACTCTTTGCGCGCCGTCTTTGGCCAGCTCGACCATCATGACCCGAAAAGGTTTGGACGTCCCTCGAAGAATGGTGGCAACTTTCTGCAGCTCTTGTTTCGAGGCAAGCGCGACAGCCTCCAGGGTTTGGCCGTCCGTAATCTCGTCAAGCTGCCGGCCTGTCCTGGCTCCGCGGCTCGAAATGTTCTGACTCCTTGTGCCTCACGGTGCGCCAAGAATCTTCCTCCTGCTCGGGCTCGGCCCGCCCAGGCTGCGCGGGAACTGGAGTTGTACCAGCACCTTTGCCTTTGCGAGAGGCTGGTGCGGCAGACAGTGCACCTCGTCCATTGCTTGGCGCAGCGCCGTCCTCCGGCCGCGGGCTGCCCCTTTGCGTCGTTTGCGTGCCGGCTCATGGTGGACGTCTTCGTCGGTGCCTACTCGCACCAAGAATGCTCTTTGAGACGGCGCCTTTCGGATCATCTCGGTGATCATCGGCATCAACTGGGCCGTGAGTCCTTTCAGTAATCCCTCAAGGCCAGGTAATCCCTCAATTCCAGTTGGGCCACCACACCTTAGCTGGTGCAATGCTTGGGGAACGCGTTGTGGGCGAACTTCGTCTTGAGATTCCTCCAGCAAGGCACTAATGCCGAGGGGGAGGCAACATCTTCAGAATCACTCACACTCGGATCAAAGCTGGCGGCCACAGTGGCAGCCTCCGGTGTCAGGCATGATCTCCGGGCCATCGTCACCACCATCTCCGCCGTCGCAGAGGTCCCAAGGGCCCCTTGTAGAGCGGCACCCGTAAAGCTCAATAAGCTCAGCAGGAGCGCGGTGTACTTCTTCGCTTCCACCGTTGTGTGCCGGCATTGCCGGCTGTTCAACCTGCTTCTCATCCCACAGCAAGGGCTATCCTCGAAGCTGCCAATGTCCTGCACCAGCTCCATCGGAAGTCCAACGGGGTGGCTCATATCCCAGAGCATGCTTTTGCACGGTCATCTCCAATGCCTACGAAGGAGGGCGGTAGCAATTCGGATCTGTCGCAAGCGATCAACCTCTGCAGCCAGGCGTGTTAATTCACGCCGTCCCTCAAAAGGATCAAGTTCAGCCCCACGCACTCGATAACCCAAACCGTGTGCCCCAGAGCGTTCTCTCTGCACCCTCAAACTGCAGAAATCTTCTTGGCGTAGCATCACATGCCACAATCTTGCTTGGGATACTTCAAAACCACAGCTGCCTGAGCTCGGGGCCATGGCACCTATCGGAAGGTTAGCCCTGTGCTTGAGGAGCACAGATTGACAGCTCAGCTGGCAGGCAAGCCCTTCCCGTGAGCCCAGTCCTTCGAGATGTGCGATGGCCTCCACTGCCAGGAGCCAACATGCAAAAGCGCGCGCACACACACACACACACACACCAGCAAAGGAGGGAAGCAAGCTTACGATGCCTCCTCCGTGGGCCCACAGAAGATGCTTTGGCCCCCTGGCCTTAAACGTGGTTCCACCCGGGGCTGTGCTTATTAAAACTCTTGCAAGCAGAGGAACGCCAGAAGCAAAACGTCCTCAATCATGCTCCAGACGGATGACCTGGGTTGGTGGATTGTCCTTGGAGCAAAGGCAGGAAAGGATGCACTCCACACTGTGAAGGCTCGACCATCAGCACTCAGCTGCCAGCAAGATAGTTGCACAGCGACGCGCCTTTCCCAGCTCTCCCAGAAGCTGAACCATGTCCGCAGCTTGAAAAGTGTCCTGGAGCCAAGCACAGGTGCCGATGCTGTGACCTGCTGTGTGCAGGCACGAACAAGTGTCCAGACCAGTCGTTGGCTCGTCTGCCAGCAGTGCTTTGGACTTCTGCGTTCCGCCCTGGCAACTGGTGGCTTGCTCTGGTCGTGAACAGCGAAGGCAAATAGCAGGGAACATGCCTCCCCTGCCAATGCACAGGCGAGTGCCAAGCGGCGCTGCTCACCGCCCGACCTTATCGCTCATGACGACCAGTTCTTGTAGATCCTCGTCGCAAGCACCCGACTATGATCCCTTCGAGTTTTTCGAAGACTGGGTCGCAAACAGCCCTTGGCCTGGCACAGGGTACATGTGCGGCTTGCTTCACGAGCTTTCAGCCGGAAACGGATTAAGGCCACTGACCCGGCAAGGCGAATCCGGCCATTCTAGTAATTTCAGTCTAGTATACTGGTTGCTAGTAGACAGTTGCCTGGAATGTGCCGTGCACATACACATTTTCTGTCCCACGAGCATCGGTTGAGCAAAACGCCTGTATGAAAAGCACAGACACCGCATGCCGGTGCAGCTAAACGCAACCCCAACTTGGTTCTGAGCATAACACACGACACATGACATAGCAGCAACCTGAGCTTCCGATATAGCGCTCGCCGACGCGCCGGTCCGCCACAGCCTCCAGCCTCAAACATCAAGTCCGAGCCATCCATTGGCAGATTCGCTTTTGTGCAAGAAGCAAACAGCCTTAACCTCTTCAAGAGGGTGGCCGCCTCCGTTGCCGCTGCACTTGTGGACATGCCCTGCAGTGTTGCACGCAAGAATCCACAATCAGCAAAGCACAAAGCACAAAGAAAGCCTACACCGCTGCCAATGCTGTCCACAACACACAATCTTATCACACTTGCCATGAACAACCAAGGCACACAGATACACATAGAATCACATGATATAAAAGCACGCAAAGATGGATGGATGGATGCATGGATGGATGGACGGACGGACGGATGGACGGATGGACGATGGTGGATGGATGGATGGATGGATGGATGGATGGATACATGGATGGATGGATGGATGGATGGATGGATGGATGGATGGATGGATGGCTGGACGGATGGACGGAGGGATGGATGGAGGGATGGATGGAGGGATGGGCACATATACATACATACGTGCATACATACACACGCATAGGCATACAGATACATATACCTTTACATACACATACACACATACACTCACACACACAGATATATATATAAATATATATATATCAGTTTACACGATCTCCACCACTCGCACACCTCGCTGAACAGCCCTGGATCGCAGACTTCTTTTTCCTCGCGATCGAGACGTGGGACGTGATCGCGTCATAGATCGGATCATCAAA